CTTTTATTTCATGTAGCTTAACAACAAAAGTACAACCTTATATTGTTGCTAGTCTATGTACTGAAATTATAAAATGAAATGTATAGACAACAAAACTGGAAAAGTATTTGTTGATTTCTTAATTTAGAGTCTCCGTTGATTAGTCAAATACTGTGTTATTCCAAGCTGAATACAGCTGTCCATTTTCGTTTGGACGTAAGAGTTTAAATGCTTTATGTTTTTATGGAAAGTTAAGCTTCTATGTAGATTGCAAGTTAAACCAGTATATGGATATTCATGAAGTACGCTGTACAAATTAGTCAATCTTTTAATATATGAAAAATGTATTTTATGTATTTAAATACTTTGCTGGTTCTTGTTATTGAAGTGAAACAGCGAAGTTGTTCCTAGCGAAAGTCCAGAAACTAATATTGTGTTAAGAACTATAGGAATTTTATATAACATTACACATCTTGACATTCAGTAACACCCTCTAGTGGTTCGTTAGCGAACCTAACAACAAAACATCTTCCCGCTACACTATGGGCTATCTGTGCTCTGCCCACCACGGGTATCGAAACCCGGTTTCTAGCGTCGTATGGGGGGGGGGGGCTCAAATAATGTATACCAATAAGTATTATAAACTGGAAAAATTTATATGTATACCAATAAGTAATATAGTAATATAAGCTGGAAAATTGATATGTATACCAATAAGTAATATAAGCTGGAAACTTGAATATGTATACCAATAAGTAATATAAGCTGGAAAAATCGGTAGTATACATATAAGTATTATAAACTGGAAAAATTGGTATGTATACTAATAAGTAATATGAACTGGAAAAATTAATATGTATACCGATAAGTAATATGAACTGAAAAATTAATATGTATACTGATAAGTAATACGAACTGGAAAAATTAATATGTATACCGATAAGTAATATGAACTGGAAAACTAATATGTATACCAATAAGTAATATGAACTGGAAAAATTAATATGTATACTAATAAGTAATACGAACTGGAAAAATTAATATGTATACTAATAAGTAATATGAATTGGAAAAATTAATATGTATACTAATAAGTAATACGAATTGGAAAAATTAATATGTATACCGATAAGTAAT